TTTTTTGTGTGTGTGTGTGTGTGTGTGTGTGTGTGTGTGTGTGTGTGTGTGTGTGTGTGTATACTGGTCACTTCTCTCTGTGTCTGTAATTAATAAATATGTTGTATTCCTCTGTAGACTGAAGCAGAGCTTGCTCGAAATTTCCCAGGAAACAGAGTTTCAAGCTCATACAGCTCAGCAGTCCCGAGACTTCCAACAAATCCATCGAGAGTCGATCGCTTGGTTGTCGATGAGTTTCGAGAACAAGCCAGAGTAAGTACAATGGAATTTCACCCATGAGCCCTGCCGTGTAGAAGCGGCCACCACTAGGTTTATGCAAGATTTTAAATCTGCATTTCCAAAACTATTGAAACTATGGAGACTTGCCTGTGCTAGAGTTACATGTTTCACCTATGTAGCTTTACTCATTTCATTTTAGTCTGTCCATCCAGCTTGAGAATCTGGGGTCAGAGGTCATCGGAAGTTTCACAGTAGCTGCCTAATTTTACACATGGTCTCCTGCTTTCTGAATGCAGTTTGACCTGCGGGGTTACTGGAAATTGTTTCCAAATCCGCTATGTTGTCCTACATTGTTCACTTCTCCAAACTCTTCACCCTTTTGTGAATAACCCTGCTGGTTTATACATGGCTAAATACGTTATTCTTGCATAAGAAGATCCAAATAGTGACCGGCTCTGTCTACCTGTAAACATGTTTTAAAGTAATTCTACCATATGAACCAAGTACACCACATAAGCCATTGATAATGTAATGAGAAAAGCCTTGCCATTTCACCTTGTGCTATATAAAGCACCAGACATACCGTATTCATGACATACCATATTTTAGGCCCGGTGATGTCATCACTGGGTCTCTGTGCTATAGAGGCAGCTCATGGCTGGTGAGAGGGGCCGGCAGGGTGCCATACATAGCTTCCTGAAAACATCACAGCACCCTGCCTCAGTACTACTGACAAGAACCCTCAGCCCTGATGTAAGCAATGGGCTGGCTCTTAAGAAGAGTTATGCAAATATCTAAATTCCTTGATTGGCAGGTGTCAGTCTGGAGGAGTTGTTGGGCAGACTGCAGTTGCATGCAGACCACCCTAGATAACACATATGATGCTGAGACTCCATGTTTAACCACTTCAAGACCAGGTCTCAACTGGGAAAGGAAAGATCTAGATGATGCTGGACGTCCTCCAGCCAGGAAATGAGGCGGGCTCTATCTGACTTGCTGCAGCTTCTAATGCACAATATGAGGAGCTCTCGGCGTGCAGTGATATCTCTGTGCTAGAGTTCCTCCGGAGACATAGGAAGCCAAGTTATGGTCCAGTGACAAGCACTCAAACATGCTATGTCATATATGACCCTCTGGGCGTAGATTGTATTCAGTAACGGTTTCAATGATGTGGCTTTTAATTAAAATAAAGCATTTTCTGTTTGAGTTATTTCTTTTAGATCGTTTTAGCTCCTTGTGTATCTTTTGTTGACATATATGTTTGTACGTTAGGCAGTCTCCATGGTGAAGATCATGGAGAGGATCCGTGGAGAGAGCCTTCACGTCAACATCGGCATCGCTTTAGAACACCACCTAGAGGCCATCCACTTGACACAGGCACGACGCAAAGATGAAATCGTTAACGCAGCCAATCGTCAGAAGCAAGGAGCCCCGCGCTACAATAATGAGAGAGGTAGATAGCTTCAGTCTGCTGCGCATTGTTCCTGTGAGGCGGCAAAACTCAGATCTGTGATTACTATACAAACAGCAGGATTGCAGATTCATTGTACTCCTTCCAACCATAACAAACCTCTTGATCTCTCATTACTAAGACTCTTGCACACAAACAGCCGTTATGTGCAGTAATACATAGCTACTGGTGTCAGATCTGATAAAGATTTTTCTTGTCTCTGCAAAGTATGCTGCAAGGGAAGTCAAAACCCTTCTGTGGATACTGGTTTTGGGTCAGTAACTCATCGGGTAAGCTTGAGGACCAAGCCGCTGTTTGCAGGAAGCCGAGTGTATGTGTTGTACATGTTCAGAGATTTAAAGGATAGCTACACTTTTTACTCACCCAAAGGTGGCCATACACTGTGCGAACTTTGTCCGGTTCTTAAGGAAACGGCTAAAATTCGCACAGTGGGTGCTGCTGTCTGCACCCTTTCGGCCACCATCCCTTGATCAGCTGATCGAAGGAGCCAGTCGCAAAATCTTCAAACAAACAGTGTGGGCAGCCAATGAGACAATACAATGAAGACAGCGGGAGATACCTCAATCAGCGTGGCGGGGAGGATGCCAACAATATTGCTGGGATGTTTCCCGGCCACAGCGGGACTTTGCGCTCTCAGCATTTAGCAGGCAATAGCCCATTATATGCTGAATTTTGGGTCACAGGAGGACTTTAGTATATGTCCTCACTTGATCCTGAAGAGAACTATGTCCAAAAAGGGTTAGGTCGTAGTTCTCCTTTAATTTAAAGGGACAATAATTGAGGAAACCAGTGGACCTGGTATTAGTGTTGTGGCATTGCGTGGCAATATCACGGTGTTAGGTGGCCTAAAAGTCACCCAGGATTCTCAGCCAGAGGGGCTGAGTAGCTCCAGGAAGCAAATGCTTGTACCAGGAAAGAGCATGCTTCTCGGTCCTTTCCAGGTTTTCTGGATCATAGTTGGGATCCTGGAGCCAGGAGAGCACTGGAGTCTGGGGAGCAGACACTCTCTATATGCTGGAGCACAAGGTTGGTCATGGTGGTTTGCTGAAGCCTGACAAACAATAGGTTTGTACAGGTTGGTAGTCAGGACTATCTTATGTTTAGTTAGTGCCGGGACACGGCTAGGAGGTGTTTACTTTATTTGAGCACTGTACAGCACTGTATATAGCCTGTGTGTTGCACCAAAAAATGTACCACTATTTGAAGACAGGTCACTGGTCTGGTCTCTGAACCTTTCAAAAGTGCTCACCCCAGGGTGAGCTACCTATTCCCCAGCTCACAGTGTATATTAGTGTATGAGTGTATATTACACATTTCAAACAATTAGCAAAGTTGTTTTTTGGGGGTTTTTCCCCTGAAGAAACCACTTAAGACACATTTGGGGTGTTTAGGGTGAATTCACACCAGATGCATTGGGGCTGCTTTTTTTCCTGGCTGTTTTTTTTTCCAGCGCAGCCCCAACGCAAGACAAGGCAATTTTCCTTGTCACGTATGGACACCATTCATACCACCGCTGCGCTGGGAACGGGGTGGCGTGCACTGAAAAACGACTGCATGCAAAGTTCCACAACAACATAAATGCTGAGCGATGTAGCTTACCAGCTGGTGTAAATGGGCCCTTAGATAACTGACAAGCATGCAGTTTGGGTCTCAGAGAGAATGGGCCGCAGCATAAAGAGAGAGTCCAGCGGAGGGCAACAAAACTAATTAGGGGAATGGAGGACCAGAGCTATGAGACGAGGCTTCTGACCTTAAACATGTTTACGCTGGAATTAAGGAGATTAAGGGGGGGTATGATTTTCATGTACAAGATGTTCAATGGTGACAGCAACATTGGCAACAAACTGAGATTAACTCCATTACAAAGACTAGAGGCCACCACCTAAAGTTGGTGGAGAAAAAATCCCAGCACAAGGGGCGTAGAGGGTTCTTTACAGTAAGAGCGGTTAAGGTCTGGAACTCACTGCCATCGGCAGTGATTTCAGCCAAGAGTGTAGATTTGTTCAAGAAACGTTTGGACAATTTCCTGAGGGACCGTAATATCCGGGGATACCAGTATCCCTAAGAATGAGATGATGCGTGGACCTATATGGGTTGGACTTGATGGACGTATGTCTTTATTCAACCCCAAATACTATGTAACTATGTATAAAGAAAAGATGACGCCTTGTAGCCTAACATGCCGGTTAGAACTGCTGAAGCAAATGTCTTGTTTTCTCTGAAAAGTCCTCATGATGCATTTGTTATGTAATATCTACTTTACTTTCCAGTCAAAAAAACTATTTATAGAGTGGATGTCAATATTCATGTGAAGTGGAATTTCCTGCAGCTCAATCCATAAGTTTTAGGAAGAATTTAAAAGGGCAATTCAACCAAATACAGTCGATGCAGAAATGCAGGAAGTTTTACTAAAAATAAAAATACAATAAAAAAAAGAATATTGCAGTGATCCTAACACACTTATTACATCAGTAATATGAATGATTTACCTTTTCTGCCTCTAGATAGGCAGAGTCAGCTGTCACTCACGCAGCTGGGTGGATCGCGACAGTAATGTCGGGATCCGTCCCGGCTGCGGCGTCTCAGTATACCGCGAGCTGTATCTCGCTATATACTGAGCTTTGGGTCACGGGAGGACGCTAGTATACGTTCTCCCATGACCATTAAGAGAACTATGGGGAAAAACACTTACACCATCGTTCTCCTTTAAATCTTAAAAATGCATTCAAATAGTAGATCCTCCAATCATCTCTGAATTGGTGCTGACACTGTCCTTCCTTCTGGAGGGGGGCTACTTTTGTTCCCCATGGTCCCTGTGTGTGTTGTAAAGTAGTCACCGCTCCAAGCTCTCTCCCGGGATGGACTACAATCTCAATACAAAATGAGTTAACTAAACCTGAGATTGTAGTCCATCCCGGGAGCGAGCTTGGAGCGGTGACTACTTTACAACACACACAGGGACCATGGGGAACAGACGTAGCCCCCCTCCAGAAGTAAGGACAGCGTCAGCACCAATTAATTTTTTTACAGATGCACCATGACCTGGATGAATGAGAACATTCACAGAGATATGGGGACTGGCTTCAATGTTTTTTGTTTGCCAGTGTCCCAACCTTCTGTAAGTGACAGTATAACCTGACTGTTTAGGAATTCCTGTGTCTCTCAGTGGACTTCAAGAAAAAAGATTTTGCAGTAAATTCACACATCTTGTTTTGCACACTCTTTCCGCGTTGAGCTCGGATTATTACGTTTTATTATTATATTACTATTATATCATTTATTATGGATTATTACTTTTTGTATTTGCTTTTCTTAGATGTGTTGGCTTTGGCCGCCGCCATGAAGGAGCTGGTGTCCACTACACGCAAGGCCCGGACCGCCCTCTGGTGCGCTTTACAGATCACTCTATCCAAATGTTCCGCTGGGATCACTGTGAAGCTTGAAGACCTGGAGAGGGCCTTGCAGGAGCTTTGCCCTAACAAGACCCCCGGTGTGGATGGAGAACCCTGCTCAGATGTCGGCAGCACTGGAAGGGAGTGAAAAAAAAGAAAACCCCGCGTATAATTTTCAGCCATTTCTGGCAATAAGTACCCTCCTCCAGCCAGGAAAGGGAGGCTGGCGTTATTAACCTTTGCAAGCTACTCTGGATGATTTTGGCCATCAAACAGCAGCTTTAATAGGATATCTTTGTAACATTTTTGTATAGGCTCCTTCCGCTGCTGTTTTATTGTGTTTTACTAGGTGAGAACCATGACCAGTGTTCCTTTCATCCTTACGGCACCTCTGGGGTTCCTCTAGTCCCAAACCTATCGTAATGTGTCTGTTTAAAAAAAAAAAAAAGAAAGTGAAGTGTTTTGTTTTGTGCCAAAGAGGGGATTTCGGTCGTATGTAGGTCCGTGGCAATTCCATTTCCTTACAACCAAAATGCCTAAACTTTGTATTTCCGTCATGGTGATTCTGCTAACAATTTTTTTTTTTATTGCATGTGAGGGAGAGCACCCGTGGGTGTTAAACTTAACGCGTGCTTCATCTCGGCTGGGGTGAGCTGTAGAAGCAAATGCAGACTGTAGCATTAGTGCCCAGCGTACATTTCATAAAGCTGGACTCCAGGCAGATATTGAAGCAGCTCTATATTCATTATTGCTTCAGTACCTAAATTTGACATAGTATCAGGCTCCTGCAGTCCCTGCAGGGCTCGGGTAGGGAGAAGTAGCACAAGGAGCCAATAAAGTGTGCTGGGAGCATGCTGATAAAAGGAGAGGGCAGAGTGACAAGTGTGCTACTTCTTTCACAGGCCGGGGGAGTGGGGGGGAGGACAAGACCTGAACTGCAGCAAAGAAAAATCGGGTCCCCTTCCCCGTCAGGATGGGCTGGCAGGTAAAACCTCCCCCTTATGTGTATTTTATTTGGGTATTTAGCTGTTTGACTGAAGTTTATCTTCACGTTTCCCCTGTGCTGCCAGTTTTGTTCCTGGACAGATGTTATTAACTTGGTAGTAAACAAATATATTTATATGTTATTTACAAGGTAATGATAAGAAACAGAAAATATTGTATATCACAGTATTGGTTAGACTGATCAGACACACTCTGGAATAGATGGGGTTCTTCTTTTTTTTCGATCGGTCGTTTCCTGTGATTTATAAGTATTTTAATATTGTCACTCAGGAGCAGCGTTTGTTTCAGTGATTTTAAAGTGGAAAAAAAAAAAAACATTTAATCTAGTTTGCACTTAATCAAAATTATAGTTTTTATTTAAAAAAAATCATTTTTAATTCCTAAAGGAATATACGGTTTATTTATTATGTTTATGAAGTTTGCTAAATAAGTTTTAACATACATATACTCATGGTATTTACTCAGGAAATATAGTAACTTGCTTAGGTACAAATTAAGGTATATTTAGGCAGGGTGGTGTGCATAAAGAAAGTATAGGTTACCAAAAGTTTTTTTTTATTATTTAACCTGTTTGATATATGCATCATGAGTTCCTAGAGTGGTGCTGCCAACAGACTGGGCGGAGACTAGAGCAGTGTTCCTCCCGACTGGGCAGAGACTAGAGCAGTGCTTCCTCCAGACTGGGCGGAGACTAGGGCAGCGCTGCCAACAGACTGGGCGGAGACTAGAGCGGTCTTCTTCCAGACTAGAGTAGTGCTGCCACCAGGCTGGGCAGAGAATAGGGCATTGCTGCCACTAGACTAGGGCAGTGCTTCCACCAGACTAGAGTGGTGCTGTGAACAGACCGGGACTGGGCGGAGGCTAGAGCGGTACTGCCACCAGGCTGGGCAGAGACTAGGGCGGTGCTGCCACTAGACTAGGGCAGTACTTCCACCAGGCTAGAGCGGTGCTGCTGCCAGGCTGTGCAGAGAATAGGGCGGTGCTGCCACTAGACTAGGGTAGTGCTCCCACCAGAGCAGAGCGGTGCTGCCACTAGACTAGGGTAGTGCTCCCACCAGAGCAGAGCGGTGCTGCCGCCAGGCTGGGCGGAGACTAGAGCAGGGCTGCCTCCAGATTGAGCATAGCTGTCGCTAGACTGGGAGAAGACTAGAGCGGTGCTGCTGCCACACTAGGGCAGTGCTGCCGCCAGACTGGGCGGAGACTAGAGCGGTGCCGCTGCCAGACTGGGAGGAGACTAGAGCGGTGCTGCTGCCACTCTAGGGCAGTGCTGCCGCCAGACAGGGCGGAGACTAGATCGGTGCTGCCGCCAGACTGGGAGGAGACTAGATCGGTGCTGCCGCCAGACTGGGCGGAGACTAGAGCAGTGCTGCCGCCAGACTGGGAGGAGACTAGATCGGTGCTGCCGCCAGACTGGGCGGAGACTAGAGCAGTGTTGCCGCCAGACTGGGTGGAGACTAGTGGACTGTGTGATTTGCCAATACAGTGTAAGCCTTTGAGTTGATGCTGATTCGGTTGCCTTTGTCTTTTTTCCTGTGGCTTCTGACAATCATGTCTTTTTATTTTTTTGTGCTTTGTTTTTTTTAATGTGAATGTTCGGTCGGAGACGGTTCTTAGCTGACGTCAGTTTTTGCATGGTCTTTTTATAGTTTTGTATAGGTAACTATATATCGTTTATTTGGTGCTAGCATGAACTAGAAGAGGTGATTATGCTATATATTGTTAGATACACTGTTTGTATTTTATAACCTTTCAGTTGCCACTTTAGAAGAAAAAAAAAAAACACTAAATAATAATAATTTTTTTTTTTTTCTGGTTACATTTGAACGGTTTGTTGTGTGAAAATAGAAAACAATGGTGATCTTTTCTGTATGAGACATTGTTGCAGCACTTGTGTACGGTCGTGTGACCACCGAAATCGCTGTTCTCTATTGAAAAAAAGATTATTTTTTTTCCTTTGCAGGATTTTCGGGGGGTTTAGTTTTCCTATGTGGGTACCTTAAAGCAGAACTTTATAACTTTGGTTTCAATGCAAACAAAATGAAATTGTAAGTAAAACAGAGCATGCATACTTGCAAATCTGTGTTATCTTTTGCATTATGCATATTTTATATGATCCAAATGCCATGTTGCTTTGTTTGTTTATCGGCAATAAAGCTGATCTCCTGCGAGCAACAGACCATTAAACCCAAGTTACCCTCCCCCCACACTCACCCACCCACACACACCCATAACACACCCACCCACCCAATATGTACAATTGAAAAGCTCTTAAAGGAGAACTATGGGGAGAGAGACATGCACTCATCTCCATAGTTAGAGCCGATGTGTGACACTGCCGCTGTCACACACCGGCTCTATTGATTGAGAACTGAGCCATCACAAACTGCTGATCGCTCAATTCCCGTTCTTCTCCCTACAGATAATGGTGACTGTCAGTCACCACTCCCCACAGGGATTACTCCCTCCCCTCATCATTCCTCCAGCACTGACTGGAGGGACAGACAGGGGAGGGGGTGGGCACAGCTTGTCAATCAGGCAGCGGGGATCTTTCCCGGCTGCAACGCGGCTCTGTGCTGTCAGCATTGAGCGGGCAGTAGCCAGCTATATGATGAGTTTTGGGTTACAGGAGAAAAATAATCAACTTTTGAGTCTGCCTCGACAGAAGCTCCCCAATTGGACCTCTCCCCCTCTAAATGTAAACATAGAAAAAAACTGAGAAATAGGGGTTTCTGAGAGGTATAAAACCAATACATGTGTAAAAATGATATCCAAATTTTATTATACAGTAATTACATTGTATAAAAGAATCAATTGTAATACATACGAGTATAAAAAAAACCCAATTGGCTAAAACACACACAAAGTTCCTAGGATATGCCCAACGTCAACCAGTTATATCTTAATTAAATATCCATAGTGGCAAACATAATAATTGTCATTAATTATTCATTGTTCATTTACTGATTTTCATTAGTTTTTTCATTGTTCATTTACTGGAACAGACATATCTGGGTCCCGACGCGTTTCGCACTAAGCTTCTTCAGGGGACCACGGGGGGCTAATCCTAAGAGAAACTGGTTACCATATTTGTGGGGCATTGTCTTGGTGAACAAATTCATATAAGTGAAATGTTTATGTGTAGCGTAGTGATCCCAGGTCCTAATCCTTGCTAATTAAAAACATTAGTAAATGTTCTCTCCTGACCAAAAAGAGAACTAACGCCAAAAAAGGTTTGGCCATCATTTGCCTTTTAATAAATATCCTAAAAAGGATGATTCAACATCACTGTCACATGAACGCTCCAGTCTTTCTTATTTATTAGCTGATTTTTTTGTGGGGAACAGTCGAGAACTTCCATTTTTAAATGAGCGTTGCATGTAACAAGGGACTCTGTGTTCCATAATGCATTGCACCTCTAGCGGGTGGGGTGGGGGGGGGGGGGGGGGTGTAGTAACTGTTTTACATATCATGAGGTTGCAGGAAGGAAGCATGCTGACTCTACCCATAATTCCATCCACTAGCTGAGTTATGAGGCCACACTGTTCTGTGCAGAGGAGCATAATGACATACAGAGTGCGAGGTGTGGAAAGCTTTTGACCTCTGGGCTGCAAAGCTTGCAGAGCTGAAACCAAGAGGTCATAGAGAGTCCCATGTACCCGCAGCATGCAGGGAGACCTTCTGGAAAAGCCAACTAGTTTTGCAAGTATACTTCCATGCTATATTTATATAGCACCATCAGTGTACATAATGTATATTCACAGCAGTTCCTGCCCTAAAGGAGCTTACACCCTAAGGTCCCTATTTTTACACACATACTAGAGCCAGTTTAGTCAACATGTCTTTGAAGTGTTGCTAGGAAACCCATTTAAGCACAGGGGGGAAGATGCAAATTCCATGCAGATTTTGTCGTGTCCAGACTTTGAACTGAGGACCCCCAGTATTGCAAGCCAGAAAAGATAACCACTGTGCTGCCCATGCGCTAGTTCTAACGTGCAATTTCAGAGTGTTTGCATTAAGGGCCTGTTCACACGACGTCCATTTTGTGTGCTGACCGGCTCCATATGCTGCTGCACTCAAAATGCATCCCGATGTATCCCTATGTGTTTTATGGGCTCCAGTTCTCACATGCGCAGTCCGTTCAGCTTACGACAAAAAATACTGCATGTCACATTTTGTCCGGTCCGGAAACGGT